CTGGACGGTCCCAAAGAGCTAGACCAGCAGCATCGTACTGAAGGCTCTGGCGGTCGTAGAAACCAATGCCAGAATACGAGAGGTGGAGGTGGTTGGAAGAAACTTGCATTTAGAGCAGCGTGAGCACTAGACAGCACCGCACGCCAAGAGGGCTAGAGGAGAGGAGGGCGTGGCCCTAAGAGCGTGTTACATTTAAAAAAAGAGGTAAAAGTCTTAACAACATTCCAAACAGTTCGGATATTGAATTTCGGACAGTCCAAGTCCAATGTCCGAACTAAACCTCGTCCGGACATTGTTTGTGAGTCTTTGTTAAACTCATGAGCCTGCTCGTAACCATGACTACGACGCCATCGCAAGAAAGGTAACAACCAAGTGAAGACGCGTGTTCGTTGCCCAATAAAATCGCATTACTGTTACATCCGTCCATTAATTGTACAATATTTCTTCAGTCTATTTGGGAGGGCAATTTATGCAAAAAGTGCCCTGGTGAATTGTTTAATAAAATCTAACGATGAAGATAGCCACAAAAACGTCCGGACGGGGCAAAAGTGACAAATTTAACACACCTAACAACCTGGACCACTCCTACAAATAGTGCCATGGTTGTGGAAGGTTTGGGCACGTTATGAAGCACTGACGTAAAAAGAAGGCATTTAGAATTTTTGAAAGCCCAAGCTAGGCACCGCTGGACCTTTGGGAAAGAAGGATTTCATAAGCCTAACTAGGTTGTGGGTACATAGTTGGACGAGTCAAGTGGATGAGGCATATGTGCTATGTGATGATGATGATTTGAAATTAGAGAAGCTTGCTGATTGCAAAATTAGGCGGACCGTTTTGTATGGCATAGGACCTGTTCTTTGTGTCGACGTCGCTCTGCTGTAGTAGGGTGCAGACCCTAGTCATTAGGATTCGGTTGGTGCATTCAGCAACTCCTTGCTGAGGGTAGGTGTAGGGAGGGAGAGCGTGTGGATGATCCCCTTGTCCAGCGTGTAGGCCTTGAGTTCATTGCTTTTGAATTCCATGGCACAGTCTATCTGCCAAATTTTGAGATGTTGTGTCAATACACTATAGTGGGACGGTCATCGCACTCCCATTCAGCCTAGAAACCTGCTCAACATCTGAAATTTTGTGGGGAGGTGCTTCAACATGTCTTCATCAAACCCTAAAAGTTTCATGTTTTCTAAAGCGGTTACAAGGGCATGACAAAATTTTAAGTTTCAAGAATTTTTGCATTCCGGAAGAGTGTGTTACTCTTTTTGGTAACACCCAATTTCACCATTTCGACTGCTGACTCATCCATCGAGCTCTGATTGGTCCGAAAATTGTTGTGGCAGCCTTTTGACGCAGTGTGCAGGTAATCACCAAGTTTCATGACAACCCAGCATCAGCGCAGTGTGTGACAGCTGTCGAAATTCACTGTTCCATAGTCATGGTGCAGTGGTCTTCTTCGAAGCAGCTTGCATGAGAGTGCAAGTGGGAACACAAGCTGACTCATCATTGGCTTGACTCACTATCGATAGCCTTAAATACAGCACTGAATATCCAAGTGTGGTTGACTTTGCTGACCTAAATAGGACGTTTTCCATCCTTCACTAGCCTTTCTCCCTTAGGTCTCAACCTTCTCCGAGATCTCAAGATGATCCCAACCCCTTAAGAGTACCCTAGGCATTGTTGTACTTACTTTTTACTCGCATGAATAAAACTGAATGTTTTGAGCCGTGGTTACATTTTCCGATCATTGCGTAGCGCTCACATCTCTATTTGAGACAAGCAAGACAACTAAGGCTAACTGCTATCCGGCTTTCAACGCTTACATTGCCCAGAGTTGATGGTGACAACGTTTTGAACAGAGGCGGTCCCAAATCATCATATTCTACTTAGGCAGTTTCATGAGTGTCAAACTATGCATATTGTGTTTGTGTAGGCTGCTAGTGGGGTAGCCCATATGGGGTACAACCCAATGTTAGGGTTAGCTTATGTACCCAACTCTTGATCAATGCATCATCCTTGTCTCTAGATTCTAACATGGTTTCAGAGCAGTAGGTCCGTAGGACCGTTTTTTTTTTCCGGGCCCACCTACCGCTACCCCACGCCTGTGCCTATGCCTATGACGTGCTGCGCTGCGCGCGCCGTCTGCCTGTAGCCTACTGCCTGCTGCCTACTGTGCCGTCTGCTGCTGCTACCGCGCAGACCTACGTCAAGCACGCTGCCTGCTACTGTCCCTCGCTGCTCGCGCCGCTCTGCTGCCTCTCACACACCGTCATCGCGGCGCACCGCCCCCATCGAGCCGCGTGCAGCCCTGCCGAGCCGCGCGCAGCCCCATAGAGCCGCGCGCAGCCCCATAGAGCCGCGCGCAGCCCGGATCTGGCGCGCGCAGCCCCCGCCGAGCCGCGCGTGTCCCCGCCGAGCCGTGCGCAGCCCCGTCGAGCCGCGCGCAGCCCGTTTCCTGCTGCGCGCAGCCTATTCGAGCCGCGCGTGGCCCGTTTTTGGCTGCGCGCAGCCCTGTCGAGCCGCGCGCGGCCCTTTTTCAGCTGCGAGCAGCCCTGCCGAGCCGCGCGCAGCCCGCTGCTGCCGCGCGCGACCCCCCCCCGAGCCGCGCGCAGCCCCTGCAGAGCCGCGCGCGGCCTCCTGCTTCTGCGCGCAGCCCCTGCTGAGCTGCGCGCGGCCTGCTGCTGCTGCGCGCGACCTGCTTCTGCCTCCCGCAGCCCGCGCACAGCCCACAGCAGCCGCGCGCGCTGCACTGCATAGCCTGCAGCTGCATCGGCCCCGACCTTCCACTGCTGCGGCCCCGCGCTGCAGCTCCCGGGGCCCCGACTTGCCGCTGATGCGGCCCCCACTCTGCGACTGCCGCTGAAGCGGCCCCACCCTGCAGTTGCTGCGGCCCTACTCTGCAGTCGCTGTTACGGCTCCACCGTCGCTGCAGTCGTGCGCCTACTCGGCCCTGCTCGCCCGGCGAGCACTTACTCTTCCAGCCTTTGGTGAGCACCTGCCTGCCTGCCTGCCTGCCGGCCTGCCTGCCAGCTGCCTGCCTGCCAGCCTGCCTGCCTGCCTGTCTGTCGGCAGGCCTGCCTGTCTGCCTGCCTGCCAGCCTGCCTGCCTGCCTGCCTGCCAGCCTGCCTGCCTGCCTGCCTGCCAGCCTGCCTGCCTGCCTGCCTGCCGGCCTGTCTGCCTGCCGGCTTGCCTGCCTACCTGCTGGCCTGCCTGCCTACCTGTCAGTCTGCCTGCCTGCCTGCTGGCCTGTCTGCCTGTCAGCCTGCCTGCCTGCCTGCCGGCCTGCCTGTCTGTCTGCCGGCCTGCCGCGCCTGCCCTGCCCGAGCTGCTGCTGCTGCTAGCTCTTAGCAAGGGACCAGATGCAGCTCCAGCAACGCTCACGCGAGTCTCTCACGCCCCAGCAGCTTAGTGAGTGGTATACTAGTTGGGGCTGTCGTGGTAGCCGTCGTAGCTGTCGCCCTGGAGCTGGTCAGTTGGGGGCCTCTAGCAGTGGCCAGCTGCAGCTGCAGCGGCGCCCACGCGAGACACTTACGTCCCGGCAGCTCCACGAGTGGTACGCTCAGTGTAGCAGGTCTACGCGTACAGTTCGCTGCCAGTACGTCATTCGCACCGGTGATAGGACTGGTCAGCCTTGCGGGACGCTTGGTCACACACAGTCCCGCTGCTTCGCCCGTCTGAGCGACGACTGGCGTACAGTGTTTGGCGACGAGGCTGAGCTCCCCGACTGGCTGGAGCTGCTTGGACAGAGGGTAGATATCTTTGCTCCTGACTATGATGCTATTCTCACTGCCATGTATGCATTGCCTACTAGTGTTGACCGTGCCTGTTACCTGTGCGTCCCGCCTGACCCTGGTATAGCACCTGCTGCTCCCGGTACTGGTGAGGCTGCTGCCCTAGGTGCTCGTGCGTCTCCTCCTCTGGGTGCTGGTGAGGCTGCTGCTCTAGGTGCCGGTACGTCTCCTGCTCCAGGTGCTGGTGAGTCTGCTCTCTCTAGTTCTGCGCCTGCTGCGGCCTTGTACACCTTCACGCTTGACTCAGGTGCTTCCCGCTCCTTCTTTCGCGACTGCACCACACTCACGCCGCTTAGTCGGCCGGTTGCAGTCTCCCTGGCGGACCCCTCTGGGGGTCCAGTCCTTGCCCACTACTCCACGGTTCTGCCGTGTCCGGCCGCCCCGTCTGGCTTGCTGTCAGGTCTTTACCTCCCCTCGTTCTCTATGAACTTGGTGAGTGGAGCTGACCTCCAGGATCAGGGGGTGCACCAGTTCACTCCTGCGAGTCAGCGGGTGACTCACTGCACGTGTGCTCGGACCGGCCGACACCTGGCCACGTTTTCCCGTGCGCCTGGCTCGAGTCTGTACACCCTGACCACTGCGTCCGCTCAGGTAGCTGCGTCTGCGTCTGCGTCTGCGTCCGGTCAGCCGACGGCCCCCTGCGAGTGTCGCGCTTTGTCGCACCAGACCCTCCTGTGGCACCACCGCCTTGGTCACCCCTCGGTGCAGCGCCTTCGTGGCATGCACTCTCGCTTCCTGGTTTCTGGTCTGCCCAGGTCTTTGCCTGCCCTGCCTCCCTCGCTTGCGCCGCCCTGCATTCCTTGCGTCGAGGGGCGGCAGCGCGCCGCTCCTCACTCCTCCTCGTTCCCTCCCACAGAGGCTCCCCTGCAGACTCTCCACCTGGACGTGTGGGGCCCAGCCCGCGTCCGTGGACAGGGCCACGAGCGGTACTTCCTGCTGGTTGTTGACGACTACACGCGTTACACCACGGTCTTTCCCCTGCGCAGCAAGGGGGAGGTCCCTGCTGTTTTGATCCCTTGGATCCGCGCTGCCCGTCTCCAGCTCCGCGAGCGGTTCGGGACGGAGTTTCCCGTCCTGCGTCTGCACTCTGACAGAGGTGGTGAGTTCTCCTCCGACCTCTTGGCGGCCTTCTGTGCGGAGCACGGCATCACCCAGTCGTTCACGCTTCCGGACTCTCCGCAGCAGAATGGGGTTGCTGAGCGCCGCATTGGCTTAGTCATGGAGGTCGCTCGTACCTCCATGATCCATGCGGCTGCCCCCCATTTTCTGTGGCCGTTTGCGGTCCGGTACGCCACGCATCAGCTCAACCTCTGGCCCCGTGTCTCCTTGCCGGAGACCTCGCCCACACTGCTGTGGACGGGGAAGGTTGGCGATGCGTCGCGTTTCCGGGTCTGGGGTGCTCGTGCCTTTGTCCGCGATACCACCGCGGACAAGCTCTCCGCCCGTGCAGTTCCCTGTGTCTTCCTTGGCTTTGTCCCTGACGCGCCTGGTTGGCAGTTTTACCACCCCACCTCGCGCCGTGTCTTTGCGTCTCAGGACGTCACGTTCGATGAGTCGGTTCCCTTTTACCGTCTCTTCCCCTACCGCACTGCCCCTCTCCCTCCCCCGCCGCTCTTCCTCGCTCCAGGTGCTCCCCAGGTCGACCCTCTCCCCGCTCCAGGTCCTGCTCCCTCAGGTGTGTCTCAGGTAGACCCTCCTCCCTTCCCTGCGCTGGTTGAGGTCACTGGTGACTCAGGTCCTGCTGGGGGTGGTCCTGCTCGGGGTGCTACTTCTGGGGGTGCTGAGTCTGGGGGTGCTGAGCCTGGGGGTGAGGAGCCTGGGGGTGCGGAGCTTGAGGGTGTCGAGCCTGGAGGTGCTGAGCCTGCGTGTGAGGGGTCTGGAGGTGCTGGAGCTGGTGGTTCTGGGGCTGCTGAGGGTGCTAGCGCTGGAGGTTCTGGAGCTGCTGGAGGTCCTGGTGCTGGTGGCGCTGGAGCTGCTGAGGGTGCTGGCGCTGAGGGTTCAGAGTCTGCTGTTGCGCGGTCTCCTTGGAGTAGCCGCCTTCGTCCACGTGTGCCTCTCACCTCACAGCAGCTGCACGACTGGTACGGTCGCCGTCAGGGTCGCGCTGCTGGAGCCCGGGGCTCTACTGCTGGAGGTACTTCTGCTGCCGTCCCTGGAGCTGGGAGTGGTGCTGGTACTGTTTCTACTGGAGGTGCTGGAGTCGCTGGTCCCGGAGGTGCTCGTACTGGAGGTACTGGAACTGCTGGGGCTGGGGGTGCTGCGTCTGGAGGTGCTGCTTCTGGAGACACCAAGGCTGGAGACCCTGGGACTGGAGGTGCTGGTTCTGGGGGTGCTACTGCTAGAGACGTGGGGGCTGGAGACCCTGGGACTGGAGGTGCTGGTTCTGGGGGTGCTGCTGCTGGAGACGTGGAGGCTGGAGACCCTGGGACTGGAGGTACTGGTTCTGGGGGTGCTGCTGCTGGAGGCACTGGGGTTGGAGACCCTGGGCCTGGAGGTGTCGGTTCTGCTGCTGGAGGTGCTGGAGCTGCTGGGGGTACTGGAGCTGCTGGAGCTGCCGGTTCTGGTGCAGCTGCGCCGCCACGCCTGTTCTTCGCTCCGCCGTCTCCGTCGTCTCTGCCGCCGCCTGACTCTGCTCTTCGTCAGGTTCTTACTCTCCCGTCGTCTACTGGTCTTCCGTTAGGGCCTGGCTCACCGCTGCCTGCTCCTTCTCCTTACACTGAGCAGACGGGTAGTCTTGCTGAGCGTCGTGAGCCTGCGTCGCGTCCTGTCTCGCCTGTTCGTCCTAGTCGTACCGGTCGTCGTGTTCCGTGTCCGCGTTCGCCGCCTGTCCCCACCGCACACCTTGTCGTCCGTCGTCCTTCCTCTGTTCCGCAGTCTGTTTCTCTGCCGTCTCCTCCTGCGTCTTCCTTGCCTCACGTTCCGGACCCTGAGTCTGACCGGTTTCGTGCTGAGCACCCTACTGTCACGCGTCTGCTCGCCACTGTTGTCACTGACCCCTCGTTTGAGTCTGCTGCTGCGACTGCTTTGGTTGCTGAGCTTGTTGACTTTGCGGCTGCCTGTCGTCTAGACTACGCTACTAGTCTTGTCGCTGAGTCTGAGTCTGTCTGTCCTCCGTCCGTCGGGGGTGAGTGTGCTCTTAGCACGGACGTCCTTGAGGACAGGCACGAGGACCTTGAGTGTCTTGCAGCCGCTGCGCCTCATCTCGTGACCATGCTGCTTGCCCCTGAGGGAGACCCGGATGCACTAGACATCCCCACCCCGCGCTCGTACGCTGAGGCGGTCGCGGGTCCCTACTCCTCTCAGTGGCAGGCAGCCATGGACGCAGAGATGGCATCCTGGAAGTCCACAGGCACCTACGTCGACGACGTTCCCCCTCCTGGGGCGAACATCGTCAGTGGCATGTGGATTTTCAGGGTGAAGCGGCCGCCTGGTTCTCCGCCTGTCTTCAAGGCACGTTACGTTGCTCGAGGCTTCAGTCAGCGAGAGGGGGTTGACTTCTTCCAGACCTTCTCCCCCACCCCGAAGATGACCACTCTTCGGGTACTGCTGCACGTTGCCGCCCAGCGTGACTACGAGCTTCACTCGCTTGACTTCAGCACAGCTTTCTTGCAGGGCAGCCTGCACGAGGAGATCTGGCTGCGCCGCCCACCTGGCTTCACTGGGTCGTTCCCTCCTGGTACCCAGTGGAGCCTCCGCCGGCCAGTCTACGGTCTCCGTCAGGCGCCTCGTGAGTGGCACGACACACTGAGGACTACGCTTGCGGCTCTCGGGTTTGCGCCCTCCACAGCTGACCCGTCACTGTTTCTGCGCACCGACACTTCGCTGCCGCCGTTCTACATCCTCGTGTACGTCGACGACTTGGTCTTTGCCACTGCTGACACTGAGGCTCTCGCCCTGGTGAAGTCGGAGCTGCAGAAGAGACACACGTGCACAGATCTGGGTGAGCTGCGCAGCTACCTTGGCTTGCAGATCACCCGGGACAGAGCACGTCGCACCATCACTCTGACTCAGTCACACATGGTGCAGCAGGTCCTTCAGCGCTTCGGCTTCACCTGGTCCTCGGCACAGTCCACTCCTCTGGCTACAGGTCACTCGCTCTCAGCTCCACCTTCAGACGAGTCCGTAGAGCCGAGTGGTCCTTACCCAGAGCTAGTAGGCTGCCTCATGTACCTGATGACTTGCACTCGTCCTGACCTTGCGTACCCTCTTGGCCTTCTGGCTCGCTACGTGGCTCCTGGTCGGCACCGAAAGGTGCACTGAAATGCTGCGAAGAGGGTACTGCGCTACTTGTGCAGTACATCGGGCATGGGGCTCGTGCTTGGAGGACGGCGAGAGGTGGTCCTCACTGGGCACTCAGACGCGTCTTGGGTTGACGACCAGGCTACACAGCGGTCGTCACAGGGTTACACTTTCAGCCTCGGCTCTGGCTCTGTTTCGTGGCGTTCTACTCGCTCGTCTTCTGTTCTCAGCTCCAGTTGTGAGGCTGAGATCTACGCCACCGCCATGGCTGCTCAGGAGCTGCGCTGGCTCACGTACCTGCTGACCGACCTGGGAGAGCGGCCTCGTTCTCCTCCAGTTCTATACGTTGACAACAAGGCAGCCATTGCCTTGTGTGAGGAGCACAGACTGGAGCACAGAACGAAGCACATCGCTCTGCGTTACTTCCTGGCTCGAGAGTTGCAGCAGCGTGGTCAGCTTCGTCTTGCACACGTGGCCACTCGGGCCAACACTGCTGATATATTCACCAAGGCACTTCCGTCTGGTGATCATCAGCGCTTTTGTACCTTGTTGGGCCTTGTGCCTACGTTTCCACACTTGCTGTGGACTCTGCCTGTATTGTGATCTTTATATATATATATACCTGCATGCTTGCTCTTGCTAGGTAGTGATCACTGTACATTGTTTGTTGCATATATACCTCTGCATGTGGACAGGCCTTGTGGCCCTTTGCTTGTGCTCAGTGTGTGTGGTGACGTTGTGATCCACCCTGAGCTTGTTTTGTTTCTCTTGACTGGTCTTGTGACCCCTTGTTCTCCCCCACTTTGCCTATGGGGGTGTGTCAAACTATGCATATTGTGTTTGTGTAGGCTGCTAGTGGGGTAGCCCATATGGGGTACAACCCAATGTTAGGGTTAGCTTATGTACCCAACTCTTGATCAATGCATCATCCTTGACGACGCTCTGTAAGACCTCCTGTGGGACCAGTGTACGGAGAGGGAGCAGGGAGAGGCGAGGTAGGTGGTAACAGTGACTGCGGCTGGACAGGCAGAGGACACTCTACGGAGGGAGGAGGACAAGGAGGAGGAGCCTGCCCAAGAACCTGCTGAAGGAGCGGTACGAAGTACGGTCGCGGTCGCACAGCGTCTCCGGAAGCAGAGGAGACTCCAGCGGCCGGGTCCTCAGTACCAGCAGGAGCTCCAGCGTCCGGGTCCACAGCACCAGCAGCAGCTCCACCGGCCGGGTCCTCAGCACCAGTAGTAGCTCCAACGCCCGGGTCCTCAGCAGCAGTAGCAGTGCCACCGCTCGGGTCCCAAGCTCCAGCAGTAGCTCCACCGTCCGAGTCCTCAGCACCAGCAGCAGCTCCACCGTCCGGGTCCTCAGCACCAGCAGCAGCGCCACCGCCCAGGTCCTCAGCTCCAGCAGCAGCTCCAACGTCCGAGTCCTCAGCACCAGCAGCAGCTCCACCAGGCGGGTCCGCAGCACCAGTAGCAGCTCCCACGTCCGGGTCCTCAGCACCAGCAGCAGCGCCACCCCCAGGGTCCGCAGCACCAGGAGCACCACTCCGAAGACTGCAGCGCCGTGTGTACCACTCGCGGATCTGCTGAATGGGGGGGAGCTCCTGGGTAGGAGGGGAAGTACCGGAACGAGCTCCAGCAGCACCTCTCCGGAGGCGGCAGTACTCGAGGTACCTCTCCTGCAGCTGCTGGGAGGAGAGGGCTCCTCCAGGTGTAGCACGCACAGGCTCAGCACCCCCAGACTCAGCACCCCCAAGCTCAGCACCCCCAGGCTCCGCACCTCCAAGCTCAGCACCCCCAGGCTCCGCACCCCCAGACTCAGCACTCCCAGGCTCAGCACCCCCAGACGCAGCACCCCCAGGCTCAGCACCCCCAGACGCAGCACCCCCAGGCTCAGCACCCCTAGCAGGACGAGAGTCAACAGCTACCTCGACAGGCTCACCCGGGTCTACCTGGGACACACCTGAGGGAGCGGCACCCTGAGGGGGGAGGGGGTCTGGTACCTCAGCACCTGGAGCGAGGAAGAGAGGCGGGGGGGGGAGCGGGGCAGTGCGGTAGGGGAAGAGGCGGTAGTAGGGGACGGACTCGTCAAAAGTGACGTCCTGAGAGGCCAGGACACGACGCGAGGTGGGGTGGTAGAACTGCCAGCCAGGGGCGTCCGGGACAAAGCCAAGGAAGACGCAGGGGACAGCACGACGGGAGAGCTTGTCCGCGGACGTGTCGCGGACAAAAGCTCGGGATCCCCAGACCCGAAAACGCGACGCATCGCCAGCCTCTCCCGTCCAACGCAGTGTCAGAGAAGTCTCCGGCAAGGAGACACGGGGCCAGAGGTTGAGCTGATGCGCAGCGTATCGGACTGCAAACGGCCACAGAAAATGGGGGGCAGCCGCATGGCTCAAGGAGGTACGAGCGACCTCCATGACCAGACCAATGCGGCGCTCAGCAACCCCATTCTGAGTCTCGTCCTGCGTCGCCTGTTCGTCCTGCTCGCACTGGTAGTCGTGTCCGTCGTGAGCGTCCTCCTCCTGTCCCAGGCACTCACTACATGACTCTGCGTCCCTCTACTGCTCCTCAGCGTGTCCCTCTACCGTCTCCTCCTGCGTCTTCTTTGCCTCACGTTCCGGACCCTGAGTCTGACCGGTACCGTGCTGAGCACCCTACTGTCACGCGTCTCCTCGCTACTGTTGTCACTGACCCTACCTTTGAGTCCTCGACTGCGTCTGCTCTGGTCGCTGAGTTGGTTGACTTTGCTGCTGCCTGTCGTCTAGACTACGCTGCGAGCCTTGTTGCTGAGTCTGAGTCTGAGTCTGTCTGTCCTCCGTCCGTCGGGGGTGAGTGTGCTCTTGGCACGGACGTCCTTGAGGACAGACAGGAGGAGTTCCAGTGTCTTGCTGCTGCTTTGCCCCGTCTCGTGTCCTTGCTAGTTGCCCCTGAGGGAGACCCGGATGCACCAGACATCCCGACCCCGCGCACTTACGCTGAGGCGATGGCGGGTCCCTACTCCTCTCAGTGGCAGACAGCCATGGACGCCGAGATGGCCTCCTGGAAGTCCACACGCACCTACGTCGACGAGGTTCCCCCTCCTGGGGCGAACATCGTCAGTGGCATGTGGATTTTCAGGGTGAAGCGGCCGCCGGGTTCTCCGCCTGTCTTCAAGGCGCGTTACGTTGCTCGAGGCTTCAGTCAGCGAGAGGGAGTTGATTTCTTCCAGACCTTCTCCCCCACCCCGAAGATGACTATTCTTCGGGTGCTGCTGCACATAGCCGCTCACCGCGACTACGAGCTTCACTCACTTGACTTCAGCACTGCTTTCTTGCAGGGCAGCCTGCACGAGGAGATCTGGCTGCGCTGCCCACCTGGCTTTACTGGGTCGTTTCCTCCTGGTACCCAGTGGAGGCTTCAGCGGCCGGTCTACGGTCTCCGCCAGGCTCCGCGTGAGTGGCACGACACACTGAGGACTACACTTGCGGCTCTTGGGTTCGCGCCTTCTACAGCTG